CTCTGTGCTTCTTTTGAATAATAATTTAAAACTGGAACAGGCTTGGAATTGCATGCATTAAGCCCTAGCTCCATTTCTGTTTGACTTTGCCTAGTGCAGACGTAGGATACTATCTCAGAAACGCATCCAGTGCACCTTCTCTTTGCCTGTCTTTGAAGGAGAGGTGTGCGCCTGCTCAAATTGCCAGTAGAAATCGCACTCCAGGACTTTGACCTTCATCGGATAAACCTAGTGAGATTGTTTGGCCGAGCAGGTCCACTGCTAGGCAGGCTTCCACAGGAATTAAAGGCTGGATGCTGAACTCAGACTCACAGCCCATATGCACAGCAGCCTTATTCCCACTAGCCAAAAGGCAGCAGTAGCCAAAGTGTCAGCCAGCAGATGCGTAGCCCCACAACGTGCGCTGCGTGCTTGCAGTCAGTATTACACAGTCGGGCACCGGGGAGATAGCTCAGTAGAATAAGCGCTTGCCTGGAAAGCACAAGAGCCTGATTTCAATCCCTGGTTCTGCAAAAAAACAAAAAGTATTACACAGCCATAAGGACTATGTAATTGCAGTATTTGCTACACCATAATAGACCTTGAAAACCTTAAGCCAAGTGGAACAAGTCAGACACAGAAAGACAAATAGCACAGGATTCCCTTTATTTGCCTAGAAGAGGCAAATTCCCAGAGGCAAACAGAAGTCTCCAGGCAGCACTGGGAATTGGGGAATGGAGGGTTATTATTTTCTGTGGGTACAGGGTTTATGTGTAGATGGTGAGGAGATTTTGGATACAGGTTGTAATGATAGCTAGACTATAGTGTGAAGGCACTTAATGCCACCGAATAGTATACTTACAAAGACTAAAATATAAATACTATGCTATCGCTATTTTACCAAAATAAGGATAAACCTAGTATATATTTTTAACCCATGATTTCTTTTTAGCATTAACAGTGAGATCTACCTAAGGTTGTCCAAGCAGACAGGGGTTGAGGTTGTGTAGAAAAGTAGTTCTGTTGTCCTGCAGCAGATTTAAAACTGGAAGGTCTCGCTTGATCTTGTGTTCCTGTTTTGTAATTTAATATCCATTCCCTCTTTTTAAAGTCTGATGAGTAGACTTAGAAATGAATGGAGAAGAATAAAAAGTCTAGAAATCACAACATATTTTTAGTGATCATAATACTGAACAAAGCCGACTTGGTTTTTAAAATATATTTCACAGCAGCAGTTAATGTAAAAATTGGGTTAAAATCAGGAAAAGGGAACATTGACACCATTTAAATTTTGTAGGAATTCTCTCAAACCATTATGAAACTTTCACGTGTGGTAAACCAAAATGGATAAACTACATTTCGCATGTAGGAAAATTAGAGGTCAACGCAGAGAAGGATTACTCCTGTGTCTTACACGGTATTTTGCAGTAAAGGGCAAGCTGATCTAGTAAGTTTGCTTCTTAAAGTATTCATTAAGTTGAGAAATGGTTTAAGACCTTCCACCAGATTGCCCTTCAAGATTACCACAGATGAAGAACTTTTCAATTGAATTGAGGAACAGGAGCAGCTAAGCAACATGCTTCCCTGTCTACCCATTGAAAGGAAGGAAAAAGAAAGCCCACTTTTGGGGATATCTGTGGCGCTAGTTGAACAAAAGTAAGATGGTAGAAAAAGTGGTGGTTGTGTGGCACATACCTGTAATCCCAGCACTCAGGAGGCTGAGACAGGAAGATCAATACAAGTACAAGGCTAGCCTGGGTATTCAGTGAGCTCAAGATTGGCCTGAACTGCAGTGAGATCCTGTCTTTTCTTTTTTGAACCCTGTCTTAAAAAAAAACCAAAATAGCGGTGGCAGTGTGCACGGGAGATTTTAAGAAAAAAGACGCAGAACCTAACAGCGCATGGAATAATTCCTTATAGCTTGATAATATCATGCTGCACATGTCACTAAGGTGATCTGCCAGAAGTGTGAGCATGTGACTCTTGTGCCAGTTTGCAGATCTTTTTGACATTCACTTTGTGTTCTGTTGCTTATTTCCCAAAGCGCCGCATCACGTCGCTTCTTTCTTCCACTCATTTCCCCAACCTGGAGGGCTTTTCTGCTCTCTGGATCTCCATCCTGTTTATTCTCCAGAATCCCAGCTTTTCTGCAGGCCTTCCTGGCGGTTCCCACGCTGCTCGGTCCCTCTGGACTCGCTGCTTTGTTTAGTCCTTCACTTACTGCAGATCAGTAAGAAGTCGAGGGCGTGTGCCTGTGTGCTTATATGGGTGTGTGCTAACGCTGACTACATTAGCTCCAGGTGGCGCAGGAAATGCAGAGGTCACGCCGGCAGATTCCACGCCTTCCTTTTATTGCATGACACAATTCTGTATTTCTCTCCACAATGATACACTTACCGGTGTCTCTGTGTCCCACCTGTGTTTCATGTAATGAGTTTATAGGATTGATATCACCAGTGCCAAGTGTCTGCTAACATAAAATGGCTAATCTATTTTAGCTCATGATTAACTAGACTCTTCTAGTCTCTTTAGCATTTTTCAGGTGAGTTAACACATCCATTCATTCACTTTTTTTATATTTTAGGGAAGGATCTGCAGGGTGTTCAGGGTCTCACTACTAGATCGGACTCATAGTGATCTGCCTGTTTACAGCCTCCCAAGAGCTGGGATTACAGGTGCTCGCCACCATGCTCAGTCTCAATTGCTGTCTCAATGCGCCCTGGGGGGTGGGACCAGCATGGCAAGCCTGGGGATCAAACCCCTGGCCCTCTGGTCCCCTGACCCCTGTGCCTACTTGCAGGTGCTTTAATCCGCTGAGCTATTTGGCCAGCCCTCATTCATTCACTTTAAGACAGGGTCTCACTATGTATTTTAGGCTAGGCTTGAACTCACTCTATAGCTCAACTGGCCTCAAACTCATGGAGATCCTCCTGCCTCAGTCTCCATAGTGGTGGGATTCTAGGCAGAATTATTGGGAGGAGGAGAAGGAAGAGGGGGAGCGGCTCTGTTGTGCTTCATTCATGCCTGCGTGCTTTCAGACTCCAGGGTGTTCTTTTTGCCTGCAGCTGTCTTCCAGATCATCTCCCTGGTCATCTACCCTGTCAAGTACACCCAGACCTTCAACCTTCACGCCAGCCCTGCGGTCACTTACATCTATAACTGGGCCTATGGCTT